ATAATATTTTAGGCTCTATTTCCGAAGAACTGCCAGTGTTGTTGCATCATTCACAGAGCTTTAATAGTAGCGCATACATGACAGAATACGATCCAAATCTTCTAAGTAATTTCGACCCGGACTGTGCCGCGAGGAAAACTGTCATGAAATTCAACGGATATATCGTATGTTTAATATTTTGCGCATACAACAGTGGTACGGGTATGTCGTATATTTATTGTATACATATATTGCCCCCTCCCCCCTTCCCACTCAGTATTCCCTCATCGATCATAGTGTGATTTGCAGAGTACAATAATGCATTATCAACCAGAAAATGAAATGAAACGTCTGGTCAATGAAGCATTCCGCGCACGTTTCCCGCAAATTCATGTAACATTTAGCAAAATTAACAGGTTGACATTTCCTTTGTTTTTTTTTTTTTTTTTGTTTTTCATTCCCATGTGTTTCAAAGAACAGTTTTATCATTTTCAATGCATGCGAGGCTGCCCATTTGAATGAAAAAAAGCCAAAAATGTGAGTTTCTTTTTGTAAAATATTGTGCATTTTTTTGAAATGACAAACTCTGATGGCCTCAATCTACTCGTGGGTTCAGTAAATGCTTCCGATACTGTACACCTTGATAACTGTTGTTATTTAGAAGTCATTTACAGCATCAAGAGGGAGCTTCATCAGATTGCAGTTGCATGCAAATTGGACGATTGCACAACGGCGCATGCCTATGTGTTCTATGAAAAAGTGCTCCTTAAGGTTTGCTTATATACTTTCTAATGCGTACTGGACACTTTCGCTGGAAGCTATAATGACTTTCATTTTTATGCCTTTTTGATGTGCACCGCTATAACGCTGTTGCAGCAAGCAGTAATTGGCCAACGCACGGGCTGCGCGTGCGAACATGCGTTTTTTGAATAGCTCCCCGCTGATTTTTCTCGCTAACTGCAGTGGTTTTTCCGGCAGATGCTTCTAGCTAAAAGAATTTCAGACTGGCCGCCAGGACTGTCAGGAAAC